CATACATGCATGCATGCATGCATACATAAACACATACATACATACATACATTACATACATACATACATACATACATACATACATACATACATACATAACATACATACATACATACATACATACATACATACGTACATAACATACGTACATAGATGCATACATAGATACGTACATGCATATATACATATATACATACTATACCATTATACATATATACATTATATTACATATATACATATATAACATCTTACCATATATACATATATACATATATACATATATACATATATACATATTATACATATAATAATATATATATATATATATATATATATATATATATATAATTATATACATATTATATATATATAACATATATATAACACATATATACACACACACACACATACATATACATATACATACAAACATAATAAAGACACTCATAGGGGACATATGCCATGTAAGCATACACTTAACACAATACACAAGCAATTAAATACCCATGTAATTGTAAATACCCAAAGATGTGTAACACACACTGCGCATACAAGCACACTTACAAGCGCACACAAGTGCAAAGCCAAACAAGTTATAAACTCGAGCACAAACACACACATACACTAGTCCACATACAAGCACAAAACACACATACTAGCACAAAACACACAGAGACACAAATACACAGACACAAACACACGGCGACACGGAGACGGACACAGCGATACCGGACACGGAGACACAGACACACAGACACACAGGACACACACAGACACAGACACAGACACAGACACACACCACACACACAACACACACACACACACCCACACACACAGCACACACGCACAGACACACACACGCACAGCACACACCACGACACGCACAGCACACACACCACACACACACACACACACAGACACACACACGCACAGACACACACACGACACACACACACACACACAGACACACACGCACAGACACACACACGCACAGACACACACTCTCACAGACACACACTCTCACAGACACACATGCACACACACACACACACACACACACAGACACACACGCACAGACACACATGCACAGACACACACACACAGACACACATGCACAGACACACATGCACAGACACACACAGACACAACACAGACACACAAGCACAGACACACACACACAGACACACACACACAACACACATGGCACAGACACACACACAGACACACACATGCCACAGACACACACACGCACAGACACAGACACACACGCACAGACACAGACACAGCACACGCACACACAGACACACACACACACGCACAGCACACACACAGACACAGAACACACAGACACACAACACACACAACACACACAGACACACACACAGACACACACACAGACACACACACACACAGACACACACACAGACACACACAGACACACACAGACACACAGACACACAGACACAACAGACACACCACACACACACAACACACACACACACACACACACACCACACACACACACACACACACACACACACACACACACACAAAATGTCTGACATACTGACCATCCATTCAAAACCTCAGAGATATATATTTCTCTAAAGACCATCCCCGTCTTTTATGAGAGTCTTGGCATCAGAAATTACCTTTAGAACTTTTATTAAGCTGTATAGTCTGCAACCACTGAATGCAGAAGTGTGTCCAAAGCTTTCGGAGAGGAGTTTGTGTTTCTCTCATTCCCTTGCTCGGACAAACACACACACACACACCACACCCACACCCACACCCACACCACACCCACACACACACACACACACCACACACACACACACACACACACACACACACACACACACACACACACACACACACACACACACACACACACACACACACACACACACACACACACACACACACTCAACACACACACACACACTCACACTCACACTCACACTCACACTCACACTCACACTCACACTCACACTCACACTCACACTCACACACTCACACCACACACACACACACATACACATAAAATGTCTGACATACTGACCAGCCATTCAAACCTCAGAGATATATATATATTTCTCTAAAGACTATCCCCTTCTTTTATGAGAGTCTTGGCGTCAGAAATTACCTTCAGAACTTTCATTAAGCCGTATAGTCTGCAACCACTGAATGCAGAAGTGTGTCCAAAGCCTTCGGAGAGAAGTTTGTGTTTCTCTCATTCCCTTGCTCGGACGAATTTCCCCCATTTATCAGCTGCAGGGTGATTATGATTTGCTTATTGCTTCAGACTTTTTCTGGAACCAGAATGAAATTTTAGAAAGGGCCAAAGATCACCCAGTTTTAGAATTGTTGTAGTTATCCTTATTGATGCTTTTATTGTTATTTTTATTGTTGTTATTGCTACTGATTATTATTATTTGATTGTTATTATTGTTATTTCTATTATTGTTATTACTATTTTATTGTTACTTTTATTATTATTATTATTATTATTATTATTATTATTATTATTATTATTATTATTATTATTATTATTATTATTATTATTATTATTATTATTATTATTGTTATTGTTAGCAACAGTAGCATGATTATAATGGTGGTGATAATGCGGATGGTGATGATGATGATTGCTGTTGTTATTATTATTGTTATTGTGATTGTTGTGATTATCATTCTTCTTTTTCTTCTGATTCTATTATTATTATTATTATTATTATTATTGTTATTATTATTATTATTATTATTATTATTATTATTATTATTTATTATTTATTATTATTATTATTATTATTATTATTATTATTATTATTATTTATTATAATTATTATATATATATTATAATTATTATAATTATTATAATTATTAATTAATAATAATAATAATAATAATAATAATAATAATTATTATTATTACTGTTACTATTACTATTGCTATTTCTATTACAATTACAATTGCGATTACGATTACGATTACGATTACGATTACGATTACGATTATGATCATGGTTATGATTATGATTACGATCACTTATTATTATTGTTATTACTATTACTATTACTATTACTATTTTTATTACGAATACGATCAGTCACTATCACTAACGCTATCACTATCACTATCACTATTGCTGTCATGATCACTATCACTATCACTATCACAATCACTATTACTATTACTATTTCTATTATTATTTTTGTAATTGTTATTACAATTATTGTTATTATTGTTATTATTGTTATTGTTTTTGTTATTGATATTGTTGTATATCAATGATATTAATTGATGTAGAAGTAGTAATAGAAATGATAGAAATAATAGTAGAAGTATTAGAAGTAATAGTCATAACACTAGTTCTGCAAGTGTTAGTATGCTCATAATTATGTTTCATCAATCTTTATTGTTATGATTGAGTATCAGTGTTTGTCAGTTAACAACTTTTTATGCTTCATTTGCAGAGGAAAAAGGAATAGAATTTAGGAAAATGCTCAGATTGTTATAAACATCATTACATCCAATGAATATTTTAACTTGAATTCAAGATGAAACATACTTGCAATTTTATACAGTTGTCATTACATCCAATGAATATTTTAGTGTCTGTAATTATCAAAGAACTGGAGAGTGAATTTTTCATTTTTTCTTTATATGAACTTATGAATACTCAACATTTTTAATAAGGGGCAAGATGAAACATACTTGCAATTTTGTACAGTTGCCTTTATCTGGATATTGAAGGGAAAAAAGCCAAAGAGGCAAGCAGTTAGACTGAGAACCAAAGAGCAATTAATCATCTTTGCTGTCATGACTTCAGGTGTGGGAGCAGATGACTGTACCGGAGCATGTGCCGAAAGATACCAACATGGCAGTGGACGTTAAGGTGTTGACGCTGAATATTTGGTGAGTCCTGGCTTATTGTGAGTTTTTCTAAGGTGTTTTTTATTGGGAGGCTCGACTTAGTTCATCATTGATTTTCATTTAGAGTTTTTGTCTAGTCTAATTTTTTTCTTTGTTTTCTTCCATACTCTAGGAACTATCATAAAAAAATTATTGTGATTGTCATGTTTTTGATGCAGTGTAAGTACTTTCTGATGTTCATAATTTACAGTATTAAAGCTTTTTCAAGTTCATAGGATCCTTTTTTTATTTTTATCTACAGTGTTTTAGGATAATGATCAAAATGATGAATGAAAAAAAAAAAAATAGCAGGTAGTAGTGATTGGTCATGTACTAATATCAGGTTATAGTTAAAGGGTTAAATACTATTGTTATTTACTGCGACTCTTTTCATCCTAGTTCTCCAAAAACAAAATCATGAAGGCCAGATATGAAAGTGAAAGCTGGAAGAGCAGGTGTTATTGTCAGAGATGGAAATTTTCACCTGAGTAATACATTTCCTGTCAAAGTTCAAGGTGACAGATATTAAAAATAAGTGTGTACAAGAATAGATCATTGCACAATCCAAGATGTGCAATTGACATTTCCATTTTTACATTTTCATCAAAATTATATAATTCTGAGGAAGATATGGGTATTGAAAGACCACTTACACATCATACATTGTTATTAATTCTTGTTTATATCTTTTTTCAACGCTTCCTGTTTATGATCTGTTTATCAGTTAGTGACCTAGAAATACTTTAATTCAAAACAAACTATTTTTATAACTTGCTAGTCAGATTAAAATCCACCAAGAAACAAAAAGTAAAAAACCCTTGGATGTGGTTGTCAAATAAGGAGAACCACAAACACGCAAATTATAAACTCTGTACTGTTGTGAGAGAACAGAAAATGTATCAGTTAATAGATAGTCTATGTTGTCTATGGAAGTGAAGGTTATTTTCCTTACTCTACCTGATTTGTTTTATGAATAAAGCTCATTGGTAAAATTGATTTATATTTTAAAATTCTGCTTAAGTAGAAGACTGAGCTTTTGAAAAAAGAGGTAACTGTTACATGTTCAGTCTCACACATTAAGAAAAA